CGCTATCACATGCGTCTTTTCCTCTCCGTTGTTTGTCTCTGGCCCCACTGGCTTCACTTCCTCGCTCCCTCCCTCTCTCTCTCTCCTCTTTCGCTCTGCTTAAAAAGAGGGAGGGGCTCTCGGCAGTAACCCTACACCTGCTCCGTTCATACGTGTTCCAGTAACTGACTGAACTGCCCCGGCAAGTGCGCGAGTTAGAACTCTCCTGTGCACACCGGAGCCAGCAGCATCCCCACGGTACCCCCAGTGGGGAGAAGTCACCTGAGGAGAAGAGGAAGAGGAGTAACAGGAGTGAGCGCCGGCCAAGCCTCGGGAACCCCCCAGCAGCCAATGTCGTGGCCTCAAGTGAACTGAAGGCACCGGCGTGGGGGAATGTCCCTCCGTGACCCCAGGACCTCGGGAGGGGGCCGTGTCGACGGCGAGGATGGCGAGTGTGGCTACGTGCTGGTGCGGATCGCCAGCCTCCCTGCTGACCTGTTTGCAGTCAGCGATTTCCGGGGGAAGTTCAAAAAGATCCACGGCAAAAAGAGGCCCACCATTCTGGAAGGTAGGTTTTCAGAGGGAGATGTCTTTTCATGACGGTCTGCTGTCTCGGAGGATTGGCAACCGGATCTGGACTATCTTTCTAATCGTGCAAGCAGCCGTTAAAGACCCATGCCTGTCTCCTGAAGGTTCAGGGGTTAAGTCACTGTTCTCTATATTGTATAACTTGAATTGTTCCACCAAAATAACCACAAGAAAGCAAAGTGTTACCTGTGCCGTTTCAGGTATATCGTCATTAAAAACTTGTGATTCTTAGTTTTTGTTCAAAACTTACATAAACACAGCTGGTGCTTGTCCCTTGTGAAACAAAGCTGTCAGTTATTACAATATGAGTATATTTTATCCAGTGCCTCTCCTAACTCAACCCATTTATACAAACATTGTGTTTTGTAGGATTCATACTGAGAACCATGAACATTCAAACATTGGGTTACCAATACTGATACCACAAATTCTGATTCCCGACGTTTGTTACCTGTCTTGTCAAGGCTTTACTTGAACCCATCAGCATGCTTGCCAGAAAGGCTATGTGAGTTTGTATCGTGGGAATTTCACCAAAACAATTTGGAGAACAATATTTGGGCTCTTTCTCGGACTTGAACTGCCAACCTTCCAGCCATGCTAAGTTCTGCCCCACAACGTGAATTATGGCGGGCACAGAAGGTTTACAGAATTATCTTCAGATCTAGCCTATAAAATTGGGTGGGGCGCTACTGTCCTGTAAATGTCACTGTGTTATGAGGGAGTAGACCAAAGTTACTCTGAAAATCGGCCAGAGGTGGCATTCTAAGAACCTGCATGCTGTGCATGTATGATCTTAATCTCCAAAATCCGGTAGGGTGGGGTTGGGTACAGATTGTTACCGTCAGGGACTTCCTATACTGAATCCATGTGAGCAAGACAGAAAAGAGAGACATTTGTCTGAGGATGGGAGAGCAAGATAGGAAAGAGAGAGACATGACTGAGGGTGGGAGAACGACAGAAAAAAGAGATGTATGACTGATGGTGGGAGAGCAAGACAGAAAAGAGAGACGAATGTCTGAGAGTGGGAGAGCGAGACAGCCAGGGAGAGCCCACCCCCCCACCATGTCAGGTACGACATTGAATCAGGAGCCACATGCCTCACATTCTTACTCACCAGTGAGCTCAGAATCGACTTGTCATATGCATCACGCCAGTCTGCTGCTTCTCCAGTCCACCTGAGGTAAGAAATTACCTCGAAAATTTGCAGTATTGGAGTAGTACTGTAATAGTACTGTAGTGCTCTCGAACCAGTGCCAGGGCCATAAGTGTGAGGGAGTAGCATCGTGGCCCCCACCTGGCACCGCTATGGCGGAGGCATCGCCCTCACCAAATATGTCCCCTTGGCTCAGCTGTGACTTTTGAAATCTTGATAGCAGGAGGTTCAGTGAACCAAGTCCTTTTGGGCTTTTCATGGTGTGAGCTGGTGATGCTGGTTCGGTATATAGCACAGTCCACATAGTAACTGACTATTTCCCTCAAATTTGATAGACAAACTCCTTCATCCCAACCCTAATGGAAGATGGGAGGTCCTCTAACCTCAACCTGAAATATACCCCTATCCCTAACTTTACTAATTCAGTGGTACCTCGGTTCTCGAACTTAATCCGTTCCGGACTCCGGATCGAATCCTAAAAAGTTGGAGTTCTGATCGAATTTTTCCCATAAGAAATAATGGAAAACCAATTAATTGGTTCCCGGCCCCCCCAAATTTTTTTTTTAGCATTTAAACACAAAATGAACTGGATAAAACAAGAAGAGCATTTTTTTTTTCTTAATGGCTTCCAAAACGATAAAGATCTTATCCCAACATTACCCCTGTCCTGCCCTGATCGTCCGCTCCTTCAGTGTGCCACGTCCCCTCGTTTACCTCATGTGGGATCCCCATGTGATCAGCTGTATCTGGTTGTTGTCATTAGTCCTCTAGTAAGAACTGCATTGTAGTATGACTCATTTCCTGGCGCATACAATTTATATTAGGTCAGCGTTCACGGTTCGACTTCTGATATTCAGATCGAGTTCTAGGTCAAACTGGTTTGTTCGACTTTCAAGAAATTCGAGTTCTAGTGAGTTCAAGAACCGAGGTACCACTGTATAACCATAACATAAACCCAACCCCCTCTCCCCTAAACCTAACCCTGCTTCTTTCAAGCTCATGACTCTATTTTACCGTCTGTTAAATCCCGTTGGAGTCAAATCACACCATTCATGCTTAGCATGCAGAGAACTAAAATCCTGAGTCACTGTTCCATCATTGTCCCCTCACTGTTCTAACTCCTGGGCTTAACAACTTTTCAAGCTTTCTATGGCTGGGTTTTTGGATGTGACGTTTTTAATGGAAGTTTTCACGCTGCTTCCTTGTCTGGCCCTCTTGTCATCTTTGGGTGGGACCCTCCACTTCTTAAGCTCCTAAGCTCCTTCCTGTTTATCGGTCTGGCTGAAAAAACAAAGCTCTGAGACAGTGAGTTACATAAGGCTGCCATGCCTCGGGGGTTGCTCGTTGCTTGCTGAAAGAGGAAAAGGCGCCGGCTTCCTGCTGACTCAGCACCAGCTCTTGCAGAGCAGGACTGATTGATCTCTAATCGCACCATTTCCAAACCAGAAGATTCCAGACCAGAGGCAGAATTCCCAAATCACTGGTTACAGAGAAGACTGGACAGAACCTGTGGCTTATCTTAGAGGCACTTATGTTCTTCTTTGCTTCCCCTGTCTTTGTCAAGACATTCTTTGGCATTTTAACTACTTAACTAGAGCTTGAAATCCTTTGGAAACACCCACCCGACATCAGTGGTGTGACCGAGTGTTTGGGCTCAGCCCTTGCGCCTTTATGTCTTGCATCATGCGTTTGCTAATGGGGCAAATGAGGTTTCATGAGGCCTGGCTCTAGTTCGGTCAAGGGGGAGGTCCCCTGACAGGCTGCCATGCCTGCCTCATAGGTGAACATACGACACCATGTGACACGACACCTGCGTGTTATTGGCCAAACCCGCGTCCTGGAAAGACTTGTCACCTTCTTTTCATGACCAGTCTTGTGTCTCACTCTTTGTCTTTGCAGCAGTAAGGAGGGAAACCCCTTCTCAGCTCTGCGTCTGTGTCTTGGGGCCTTGGGAAGTGTCCCGAAGCACATGAGAGTCCTCTCTTGGCTGCTTCTACCTCAGGCAATTGTCCAATCATATCAGAGAACACATTCTGCCATCTCGCCTTCTGTCTCTCCCCCTTTGTCCCCCTCCCCGTCTAGTTTTCCTCCTCCGTGGACCATAGCTCATATTCTTTCCCAACCTTGCTCAGATTCATTTTTGCATCCCATTGCTGCTTATCTTAGCAACGGCGCTAATATCTTAGCAGTTTTTCCACTTACCAGTTTGTTTGTGTAGACAGTTATAGATTTAGGGCCTCATTAGGATCAAAGCCTCCCCTCTAACAGTAACAGCAGACAGATGGCCATGCATTTGTATACTTAAAGAAGTAATGGGTATGAGGGAAATTTTAGGGGGTGGGGGGTCATCCTAGTAAGGGTACAGTGGTCAACAGTGGATGTGAATTATGTGACATCCAGTCCTAGTCCAAACACCTGACTGCAGTCGTCCATGCTGATAATTCTACTATTTATCAACAGGAAAGGCATATAAATTGCGCAGTATCCTTTGCTGCCGTTTCTGCATTTTCCCCGCCCATCCGGGGAATCTTTTGGCTGAGGCACGTCGCCTGCCTGTTGTGCAGCTTGTTTGTTTATCTATTCCCTTTCTCCCCCTTTCCTTGTATCCCCTGGGACAGGGGTGGAGTGATATATATATTTTATTCCCAGCATGCCCCGCTCCACAGCAAGCCACATCACGGGCTGCGTCGTCCAAACCCAAACCACAGCACACTGATGCCTAGCTGCACTGGCTCGGCTTGGGCGTGACGGTCTGTGGAGGGGGATCTCCACGCTCGAATGGAACGCAAACGTGGCCGTCCACACGTCAGCATGCATACACACATGATGTGCATATGCACACACACACACACATGATCTACACAACAAATTATGTAGAGGCACAAGAACAAATACACACAACACAGCAGAGATACCCGTATAAAAACAGGCACATGTAAAGAGACCCCATGCACTAACGCACAAGCACAAGTACATGCATGGTAGTGTTTCCGGATAAAAACATTTGTTTGCACTATACCCCAGTTCCCAGGCACCACGGCATAGCAATCCCCCAGGCCTCCTTCCTCTTCCTCCTCCTCTTCCTCCTCCACTCTCTCCAACTGTGGTCACCCCTGCCCCTGCTTAACCACTGCCTGCACTGACGAGATTGGCTCTGGAGCTGCAGGCCTTTTGCGCATCCCAGTGACACGCGCACACACAGTAGAGAGAGCGAGAGAGAGCAGGGCAAGGAGAGAAAGAGAGAGAGAGACACACACACACTTCGTCAGGGACACCAGAGGAGGACCGGAGGTGAGGGAGACTGAGAAAGCAGCAGTTCAGCTCACCAGAAGGCTGCCCGCACGTATCCGTGCATGTGAACGTGCGCGTCTGAGCTTGGGCAGAGCAGACGGTCGTCAGCACAGACCCTTCCTCCTTGCCCGGCCTCTCTCTCCCTCGCCGCGGTAACCATGACCAGCCAGCAGGACGCGGGCTTCTTGGAGATCAGCATCCGGTCCCTGTTGAAGTCGTGGGGTGGCCGTGAGTAGCGCCGGTCTCCTCCACGCTCCTACATGCTCCTGCATGCGTGCGCCAGCCTTGTTTACCTCGCTGCCTCCGCTCCGGACATCGCTTGTCATCCTGTCTCCCCCTCCATCCTGCATCCAGCCGTAACGTGCCGCCGCTGCCCTCTCCCTTTAATCACATTTGTTTTTATTATTATTTTGCTGGATCCCAGCTCTCTGCGTACACAGTGACACAGCAGAGAGCTTGGTGGGGGCGGGGGGGGTGGGGGGGGTGGAACGGGGGGGGTGTTACTCTCGAGTACAGTCACAGAGCCCCCGCCCATACTCCCCAGGCTCACCTGCATCCCAAACAAATGGCCAGGATGGATTCACTCTCACACAGTGCCGAGATTAATTACCAAGAGGCAGCAGGAATGACTGCAGGATAAGCCTGGGTCCACTAGGGGGTGACCTGCTCCATTTGAGCTTCTGCCCTTCTATGTACAATCTTAAGTTATGAACATGGGTGGGGCTTTACGCCCCATGATGCCCTTTAACTGTATGCTTGTTCATACTGCTTATACTGGACGCAGACGCGGGTGATGATGTGATTGAGGTCTGTATGCATGTTCATACAGGCTTTGTTCAGGCCCACACAGGTGATGACGTGACAGGTCTGTCAGGTCCAGCATAAAATACACAGGCCCTGCGACAACAGAGCCTTTAGCCAGTGGCGTTAAAGGACAAGCTGGCAGTTGCCCTGCCCAGAGGTCTGAACAGGAAGGACACAAATTTGGAACAGTGGGGATGTGTCTGTCTGCTGCTTCATGGGCTGATAGCAAGGCAAAGCAAGCAGGTGCGGCCAGTTAAAAAGTGCAAAATCAGGTTCAGTAGGTGAAAGTGATGGATGACCGCATGTTCTGTTTTTTACAGATGCTCATAGTGATAAAATTGAGTTTTTCCCCATATTTGTGTGTGAAATGCGTTGTTTTTTACTTTGTTTCTGTTTATTATCAGATTGTAAAGCCCACTGTTAGCATATTGTAGAACACCAGTGGTAGTGTGAGAGTCTTATGGGGGAGTGGCTTGTCACATTTTATGGAGCAGGGGTGCCATAAAGGGGGGGGGGGGGTAACAGTAAGACAAATTCCTGGGTTCCTGAGTTACAGGGGCCCTAAAAAAATTTGGAACATAATTGTATTGGTATAATATGGTGTACTTTCATGGGGCCCAAAATCTGTAGTGCCCCCCCTGTTAGGGAGTATCTTCTAGCATTGCAGGGAGGGGCATGTAGTATAAAGGAGGATAGAGGAGTTACTATGGCAGTTTTAGGAGGGTTTAGACCTCCTGAAATATTTTTCAGTCCTCCCAAATAAAGGTACACTGATTTGTTTATATTCCCTTTTCTCCCTCTCAGTCATTTTTGTTAAATCTATGAATGAGTCCAACAGCAAGGACAAACATGATTATGATTGGTTGGAAGAGTGCATGCAGAGCTCATGCAAAAACAGCAGCAGTAAACTTTGCACTGAATTTTTTTAAACATATACTACCTAATCTTGAATCTAGTAAGCTTGCTAAGTTTTGTTTTCTATGACAGAGTAAAAACTTGTTAGTGAAACTTATTGGTGATATTTTGTTTCCTGTGACACGGTAAAAACATGTTAGTAAAACTTATTGATGATCTCTGTTTGGCGAGTCATGTCTTGATGACCTCCCCCCCCCCCCCGCCCAGCTCAGCAAATGTTATCATCCAGATTTCAAAATACTCAGAAGAGAATTGCTTTTCTGCAGATTAGCGTGTGCCACAGAATGTCCACCTAAGCCTAATCGCAACCCAGCTGAATTTTGCAGTCCTAGCAGTGTGACAATTGCATGTGCATGACATGCATCTCAATATGAACATCACACACAATTCAGGCCTAATCTCTGGAGATCCTTCTAATGGGGAGTGACCTGTCGTGCTGTGGAGTGGATTACATCATTGTGGGTGTGGCTTGTGGTGCAAGGGGGAGTGGTCTGTGATGTAACGTGAAGTAGCTTATGAGTTTGCTCGGAGTGTCCTGTAGCCGGGGGTAGTGGCCTGTATCTTTGTGGGGAGTGACCTTTAGTATAACTAATGTGAGACTCTGGTGCCGACCTCACTAGTGACATCACCTGTGAGAGACAGTTATGATTCCTGTCGCCGTTCATCTTCCAAAAGAGCCCAGTGGGCCGCAGATGTAGACGAAACACTGTTCATGAAAAGACCTTCGTGGATCTGGACCCATCATGTATCTCCTGTCCTGGCTGAGAGCTATTTCTTTTTTTTACCTCTCTCCTGGTCCATTGGACTAGGTGGCCCAGTACCTGTCAGAATCCACTTCCCCAATAATAGTCCTTCTCATCTCTCCAATCACCACATCGTTCCACCGCTGTTTGCTCCTCATCGTTATCTTCTTCACCCTGCCCGTGCAATGGGCAGTGACGTTCATGGTGGAATAGACACCTATAACCAAAACAGCATGGGTTCAAAACTCAGGAGGGTATATTGTATCTTTAGTACAGTTCAGTTAATGTTGAAATGATAAGTAGTCCAATTGCATGCAACACTTAAGAAAATTTTGTTTATCTCTTCCCTTTCTCCCCCTTTCCTTGTATTTCCTTGTAAATAGGTGCATGCGGTCTTCCTCTTGTTTTCTGATACATACATACATACATACATACATACTTGCTTCCAAAGGACATTTCGGCATCCAGTACTTCAAATACAAATGATTGCACAATAATAGAATAATACTCAGGATTGCAGAAGTGGCGAGTGCATCTATGGGTGCTGTGCAAATGGTCAGGACGTTATAAAATTATATCGATCCATAATACCATCCAAAAAGCCCTGGAGGCGGTACATTTTGAAAGTAAGCAGACTGATTGGTTTTTATATAAAAACAATAATCTGATCGGTTCAGTGATTATCTCTTGTCGTACATTTTGGTTTCTGTAAATAGTCACTTTTCACTGGTCACTGGTGAACTGGCAGGTATTTTCTGGATAACTGTCCAACTGTTAACAATTAAGCAAATTTGATTGGTTCTCTGAAAAGAATCACAGCTCTGACGAAGCACCTCGATTGGCTGCCTGCAAGTAATCAGATCCGATAGGCTGGCCCGGCTGCGTGTGAGAAGATGAGGTGCTGGCGGCTGCAGACAGAGTTGGGGCCGGGGTGGCTGGCGCGACAGAGACCCTCCCTGCGCTTAAACAAGCGTTTTATTCAGCAGTGGCCATCTGGCCGCTCGGCACACAGTGCTTCTCATTGTTGTGTCCCGCAGACTCCACGCCCTTGTGACGTAAGGCCGCTTTCTAAAGCCTGATTGACCCCCATCTTCCAGGGTGGAGGGAGGTTAAAGGGGAGGGGGCCCACCTGTACTCATAACACAGATTTCTTGAGGGTTTTTCATGCACTTTGCCTTCATGTTGTGCCTGCTTTCCCAGCCCTGGCCATTGCTGTTTTAATGCTTCACAGGTTCGGAGCGTTTAGGGTAGGCGTTTGTGGCCCCCCACCCCCCCCACCTGACATCACCGTCTCGCAGAAGGCCAGGGTCACTCTCTCATCATTCACCGCCAGTCTGCTGTCCGCCAGCATGAAGGAGCAATTTCAACACACTTTTAACATGCAGTAACTGAAGAGCAGATTTCCAAAAGTCCCTTTGTCCATTTTTGGTTGTTTTTGAGCTGAGACCTGAAGTCAGGCTTCCTGGTCATGTGTTACAGTATCAGGGTCGAAACGCACTCCGTCCTCAGGCTTCCTCGTCATGTGTTACAGTATCAGGGTCGAAACGCACTCCGTCCTCAGGCTTCCTCGTCATGTGTTACAGTATCAGGGTCGAAACGCACTCCGTCCTCAG